TATTTCTTTTCTTTTTAGTAAATAACATAATGTTTGATCTGGTTTTTGTTGAGGTTGGGTGGAGTTGGGTAGGGTTGGTTGGGGAAGATGAAATGGATGAGTGGGTGGGGGTAGAGTGTATATTTCTGGAGTCGAGCTATAAGTACCGAACACACACATTCAAGGGTGGGAAACGTAATTTTTTTTTCAATATTTTATATCTGGGGCCCGCACCATGTGACTGAAAAATTCAAAAAGCTGTTGAATTTCTGTATACATTTTCTAGTACTTTCAGCATAAATCATATTTCTCTTTTCTTTCTTTTCTTTTTTAGTTTTTTATTTAATTTTTTTATTTGAAAAAACATAAAGTTACAATCTTACCTTTCGTTTAACTGGTCAAAGTAGGTCATTTTTTTTAAATTTTGTGGTCAAGTAATGGATTTACCTCCAAATGCAATCGAAATAACAGGGTTAGGATCCAGCTGCAAAAATGAAAAGTTTGGGTATAGTTTACAACATTTTGAAAGGTTTGAAACCCCAACTCTCTCGTGATAATAAAGTAATCATCCAGCTCTCGATCTAGAGCTGTTGCTTCAACAGTTCAACAATCAATTGAGCTTAGGAAGGCAGATAATCGTGCAATTTACTGTGCAAAAATTCCATTTATTTTTTATAAAACAATTCTGGATAATTGCTGAAGAGATTCCTTATGAACCAATGCAATTTAGCGCAGAAAAATTTCGTTCATTTGATAAATACGTTTTGGAGGAGAAACAATGCTTGGATAATTGCTGAACAGATTCCATATGAACCAATGCAATTTATTATAGAAAAATCCATTCATTTTATAAATACCGTAGAGAAACAATGTTGAATGATGGTTGACGAGGTTCCACATAGAACAGCTCGTTTGTCACGCAAATTTATGCGTTAATTTTGTCACCATTGACTGACAGAAAATTGCAAACAATTTTGAAAATTGAAGGAAAATTTTGAAATGAACTGAAAATATGAGTGACGTGTGGAATTTTTTACAGCAAGAAACGAGCGAATGATCACTCAAGTTTATGTGAAATTTAATATTTATCATTATTGTGGAGTCCCGAAAATTTCATAGAATATAATTTAATTATTCTAGTATACTTTATAAATAAATAAAAAACTTGGAGAGTAAAGTGATATATGTATTAATTCAATTTTACTTGGACCAAATATTTAGATTTTTATATAACGATAAAAAGTATAACAATATGAAACTCGTTGGATAGCTCGTAATTAATCATGTATATTAGGCTTGAGAAAATTAATTTGGATAAAAAAAAAGTCTAAGTTAACGAAGTTTAAAGAAATTGTCATTAAATATTATTTTATTACTTTTTTTTTTTTTTACTTGTGAAAGGATTGGTAGTCACATGTTGTAAGATTGAGTCTAAGCAATTTTGTTTTATTTGATTTGGATAGAAATTTTGGATAAGGATGAATATATTTGTACCGAAAATGTTACACCATCTCACATGCGCACGGGACTCGCGTGAATAAAAAACTCTCAAATGTGTGGTCTCTACATCCTATTATGAGTGTATGTAAAAGATTAGGAGTGTGTTTGGTAGGGATTTTTAGGAGAAAAATTGATTTTTGAATAGTGATATGATGGGAAATGTGTGGTTGAAAAAGAAGAAAAAAGTATTGATGTGATGGAAAATATTATTTTATTGAAGAATGTGTGGTTGAAAATGAGAATTGATTTACTGTAGAAAAGGAGAAGTTTTACCAAACAGGCTATAGATAAAAAAGAGTTGTACATGTAGCATTGTCCTTTGAATAAATTGGATTTCCACTTTCCACAACTATATTTATCCATTTATGCAAACGATTTTCTCCATAGAAAAAGCCTAAGAAATCACAATTGAGAGAAGTCAGATTTCTTTCACCATAGACTAATTTTTAAACACAGCAGCATGAGGAAAATAAAGTTGGAACGTGATTTTGGTTTTGTTTCTCCAAAAATTTATTTCCTCTGACGAGATATGATTACGAGGTGCAAGTAGTTTGTCTCGTTTAAATTATTATTTTTCATGTTGTTAAATCATTATAATAATGAAAGTTAGAGATGTGATATGATATGTATGTTATGACTATCTGGTGCCAAAAAAATATGAAATTTATTGAGCTGTTACAGGTTTCTAAATATATGATATGATGGTATGATATTTTTTACTCATGATTTACTATTTTTATTCGGGAATGCGCCATTATTCTCATGTACTCATCATTTTTCCTTACCTCTCGCAGATTAGAACGGATCGTTGGATGACGAACGATGAGTTGTGGTCACAGATTTGGATCCATTGAACTTAATAAATTAAATCCAGTGTAACGTGACTATAGATTTTATTTTTAATATTCGCTTTAGTTTAATTATTTTATGGATTTGTTATTTAGAGTTTGGAATGTGTTTTATTTGGTTTTTTTTCCATATGTTTATTTAATATTGGTGGAATCAAAATAATATGATATTTGAAATATTTGTTTAATTAGGAAATGAATAAGATATGGCGTAGAAAATTCCTCTTTTTTTGTTTAGAATATGGAATTGTTCTATATAATAGTGAGTAAACTAATGTTACATAATTTTATATTATTGCATGCCTTTTCTTAAGTTAAATGAAACTTTTAGTAACGATTTAAATATTAAATATTTGGGTCGTTACAATTTGATATCAGAACCCAAATTTAAATTTTCTGTAGACTTGTTTTGAAAAGAAAAAAAAAAGTGAACAAACTGTTCACGATGAACAGTGCTCATCATTGTTCATGTGATAGTGATCTCAAAAAAAAAGGGCCGTGTGATTCTTCACGTTGACGTGAGAAGTGAAAAAATTTCATTGTTTTACATTGTTTATCATGGAACCATGTACATTATATAATACATTTTTTATCACCATAAAAAAATGTGAATTATATAAAATAAAATAAAAAGAAAAAAAAAGTGAATCGTGCTTGTCCTTGTCCACGATGAACATCGACGCCGTCACTGTTTTACGTGACAATAATTAAAAAGAGAGAGAGAGAATGTGATAGTAATTATTAATTTTTATATTTTAATCGTGTAGTAAATTCTTATATGTAAATTTACGTTTGTTAATTATTAATAATTTTCCTAAAAGATATAAATTTAAACATGATGTAAATTTTTTTAAAAAAATTCTTAATATATAAGAATACAAAGGATCTTTGGCACTCAACGACCACCCATTGACCACCTCCGACGACTCTAAGATATATAAAGAATTAAGAAGATGAATTTATTCAAACTTTTTGTATAACTTAAATATTTTAAATTGCCTACTTTTAAATTTTAAGACATGCACATTTTTTTTCCCCCGCTAAAATCATGATATGTATTATAATAATATAGATATAACATATTAGACTTAATACTGATGTGAAGATTGACTTAATATTAATTTTTAAGAAATGACACCACCTACTCACATGAATTTGATGTGTGATTTATTGCGATCAATACAAGAGTTGAGCAAGCAGAATCAATTATCTCCACCACAAAATTCACCGCCACAGCAAAATGCATCTCCGTTTGTCCCTGAAACTGGCTCAGTGGCTGAGCAGTTTCATAGGTACAAGCCTCCTACTTTTGACAGAGGTTCCAACCCACTGGCTGTTGAGGAGTGGATTCGAGGTTTGGAACGCATATTTTGACACATTACTTGTACGGATGCACAGAAGTTACTATATACAGAGTTTATGTTTGTTAGAGCAGTCAGTCCCTAGTGAGAGTCTGTCTTACGCACTAGGATCGAAGAGCAGCAGCGTAACCTGACTTGGAAGCAGTTTAAGAACGAGATGATGGCAAAGTATTTCTTACAGGCTTTGAGAGATTTCAAAGAATTAGAGTTTTTGCAAACTCAGACAGGGAGTCATATCGCTTACTGATTACAAGAAGCAGTTTGTATGCCTCACACTTGGTATATACAGAAGTAAAGAAGTTCAGGATGTTCGAAAATGGACTATGCCCAGGGATTTTTAGTTAATATCATCGATTCCAAACATATAGAAACAACAGTTAATGATATTAACATTGTGTGACACTTTGCAGACATATTTCCAAAAGATATACCAGGCATTCCACCATATAGGTAAGTGGAATTTACAATTAATTTGATTCTCGGAGTGGAACCAAAATCTAAGGCCCCGTACCAAATGGTACATGTTACACTTATAAATTCTGTGGCATCGACTATTCATTGGATTGGGCTTATAAAACTAATTAATTGCATCTTGGGCTCGGCCCATTAACCACTTGGCTCATTGACATTTTCCTATATATATGTGATTTCATTCACAACCAAGGGATGATTTCTAACCCTATTCAAATTCACTCTCCCTCTCTTGCACTATCTTTTTCTCTCGTTCAATCGTTGACTTGATCGTCGGAATGCAAACAGTCGCCGGACCTTTTTCTCGACCGACGGCCTTTGCCTCTAACAGAGTATTTCAATGTGCAAGTGATGTCCATGTGGA